GTCGTCTTTCATAAACTGCAGTTGATCATGGCCGTGTTTGCTGAAAACATCTCTTACATCGGGTACTACATTCAAAGGTTTTCATTACTTTCCACAATAGCTTCACATGCGATACAAGTTTGCGGAGCCAGAGCACGCATTCCAGACATGTGGGCTCTTTACTGGAAATCCCGTACACAGGTGCTTCTTTTCTGTGAGGGTGTGTAATCGAGTAGCTCTGCCGGCCATGACTCGTTACAGCCTCTGCCAGCTATGACGTCACTGTTATTACAGTAACCATGACCAGTTACAACCTTTCTCAACCAAGATTCGTCACATACTCCGTCGACCATGACTTGTTACAAACTCTGTCAACCATGACCTGTTGCAAACTATTTCACCTATGACTGGTTAAAAACTCCGTGAACGATGACTCGTTGCAAACTCTGTCATCCATGACTCATCACAAATACTGTCAACCATCGCTCGTTACAATGTACAGTACGGATCGGCTATAGCGTTGGTGTTTGATTTTCGTGAAAATATCACTATAGGCGATATATTACTACAGGCGATCTGCATACTTCGGTATGCCTGACACATGCGTGGACGGTGTCATTCGAATCAGTGCAGCGTGCAGAAGCGTGTTGTGCATGTGACTGTGCAGTACGCGCAGTGCAGAGCTACTTCCTGCGGAAACAAAAAAATTGTGATTTTTTTACAGGAGTTTTCAAGGAGTTGTTGTGCTCAACAAAATTAATGTGTTCTTTTGGAAGCCTCTGGCTGCGGCGCAAGCATGTGTCAGAAAGGTCCAGGCTCAAGCTGTACAGCTCGCTTGTGCTGCCTGTCCTCCTTTACAACTGTGAGACTTGGAGAGTAACCCAGGCAGTCTTTCAGCGACTGGACTGTTTTCACCGCCGACAGCTCAGAAACCTGGTGGGAGTGCGATACCCAGACAGAATTACGAATGATGATCTGTATTCCAGATGTGGCTCGCAGCCACTGTCGGAGCTTGTTGCCAAGCGACGCCGTAGCCTCACTGGCCATGTGCTGAGGATGAGTGAGCAGTCACCCCCTTGCCTTGCGATGTCCTGCTATTTTCAAGCGGGGTCACGTGGATGAAGGGGCCGTCCCGCGGCTACTCTCCCTACCACCATCATGAAGGACCTGGCAGGGCACGACATTCCTTTGAAGAATGCCAGCGACCTAGAAGGAGCACGAGTATTTGCTGCAGACAAGTCGAAATGGAGATCAGACATTGTTTATGGATGAGTTTTTTGTTGACTGGAGACAGAAGCGGACTTGGCTTAATTTCAGTGTATTCTCATGCATTGTTCTTTGGCCTTTGTACGCGTGCTGTGGTATTATTATTATTATTATTATTATTATTATTATTATTATTTGGAAGAGAAACACTTCAACACATTCAATCGACATATCAAAAATATCTATCGCCATCGAGAATCGCCATCACTCGACTCATCACCCCTGAAACCGTTCCAAGTGGCAGGTCGATCGACGCGTGATGTCGTATGTCACGGAGAAGCTTCTCCGCATCCCTGATCGCCTTCACTGTTACCTGAATGCCTTCTCCAACATCTCGGCGGAGACCACGGTAGCGCTTCAGCGCTGGTACTCATTACTGCCTCCGCTCTCGCTCGAGGATGCCCCGCAACAACAAGCACAGGCAACGCCAAACATTTCGAATTTCCTCCGAGAGATATCATAGTCGTACCAGCGCTTCCTGACTGCCGCGACCAGATCTCGCCAAGTAGATCTACGATGTATAATTTTTTATGATCATCACTATAGGCGATGAAAAATGTATGCAATATAATCATTTTGACAAAGAAATCGTATTATTATAGCCGATATATTACTATAGCCGATCCGATATGTATAGAAGGGGGTGGTTTACGAAAAATGAATTTGAGAATATGATCACTATAAGAGGTATATTGCTATAGCCGACAACGAGAGAGCTTGGAAGCTCAGGACCCTACGCTATGCTTTTTTGCCTTGATGACCTGGACAAAAAAGCATAGGGATGTTATAAATTCTTATAAGTTTCAATTTTTTGTTTTTAGACATAACCTGGGATTCGAACCCGCACTATCGCCCTGCATGCATCCCCGATGCACTTCGCATACATACTAATTCTTCCAAGTTGCTTCACGTTATGATCTTGTATTTGAAAGCCCTATTTGAATATGCATTGTGGTCAGCCGTCTTTGATTGTACGGTACGGTACGGCATAGGTATGGGACATGTACGGGACAGGTACGGTCGAGGGTATTACGACACCGTCTACCGCCTTGATGACGGCAAAAAAAGAAAAGGGATGTTATAAATTTGTCAATTCTCCTATTTTTAAGGCATTACCTGGGATTCGAACCCGCACTATCCCCCTACATGCATTCCCCCATACACATCGCATTCATACTCATTCTTCCAAGTTGCTTCACGTTATGATCTTGCATTTGAAAGCCCTATTTCAATAGTGCGGCCAGCTGTATGTGGCCAGCTGTGTTTGATGGTACGGTACGGTACGGGACAGATACGGGATAGCGCCAGGCGTGACACAAGCACACAAACACACAAACACCAAATTAAAGCTGTGTGGACCCTGGCTAGCACCAGACTTTACTGAAGTAACGTCTTCTGCATAGCTACGGGAATAAATTATAAATTATGTACTCTTGAGTCTTGGTATGGCCTAGGCCCATGGGCTTGTGCGCTCTGTGATGTTCGAACTAACCCTGGGCTTATGCGCGAGTATGGGCTTATACGCGGGTGGGCTTATACGCGGGATTCTATGGTAGTGGTTTGCTAGATATGGGTTAGAGTTGTTAAATTTGAGCCCTCTTATTTGTTTTGTCTCTTAGAGGTGGAGAAGTTCAATCCAGCTTTCACTGATAGTACGGGCAAAATAGTTGGTTTTTCCCTCCCACCCATAAAGCCTGGCCACTCAAGACAGCTGGTGGAGATTGGACAACAGGGCTCGGTGGATGTTTCGATGGGACACAATTCAGAAGAGCCGGATGACACCAGCGACTATGTGGAACAAACCCCAGGCTATCATGTCTACGGTTTCCAATACGTTCGTGACAGCAATGGTCGGAGGTCATCTATCGGTGCCAAGTTCTCAGTGGGTACTCCCCCTGGTAAGAACCTACAGATCATCCTTTTGCAACACCGGTCTACCTTTTGTTTATTTCAGTAACACATATAAATTTAACGAGGAAGCAAATGTAACTTAACATATTTTCGTAATAATAAGTTCTGTTGCGGCTGTAAGGCCACATTTGTGATGTGCGCGGATAACCCTGAAGATTGCGAGAAAGTTGTCGTATGTTCTCAATAACCTATGGATTTTGGGGTTTAAATTTGCGAATCGTTATAATAACATGTCTTACCGTTTTCAAGTAGCATTTAGAACAATCATTCCTCTCATAGTTTGAGGTGTTGTGTACTTGCCTAGTTGAGAACGTTGACCATAGAGCAACGAGCTATCTTCTAAGACACCAAACTATCTGTGGCGCAATCCTTTTGCCATTGCTAATAGTGCGGCTTACTACTCAAGCTCATTACTGCACTGGCGAGGCATAGGCAGCGAAAGGATCTAGCTGTCTTCAACAAACATAAAAGTATCGTACTTGAGACACCATGATCATGCATTCTCTATTCTCATTGGACACACACTCTATCGCTACACTAGATTACATTCTACATTATACTTGAAAGAACCATTGCCTTTGCCATCAAACTTCAAGCACAGAAATTCTCGACAAGTCTTCAACAGACGTTCCAAAGGTCAACAACCAAAAAAAGCCACGCATGCTCCAGAAGAGCAAGCTGCGACAAAAAAGGATTAAATCGCAAAGGATGCGATTTACATAACAAAGTTGACATAAAATCCGAGAATCACAGGATACTACGTATGAGATCAAGGATTAACAAAAAATTTCCTGAGTCATATAAATACCACTCACATGTTCGCGACACTCCCACGAAAGGCAAGAAAGATAGTGAGCAAAAACAAAAACAAAACAATTAGGGTAATTTCGGGAGAGCAAATTCGAAGCCATTCCTGTTCTACTATTGCCGACACAGCATCAATATCAGTGACATGGCACACAAGGTCTACATATATCTCAACAAAGATTTAATACAGTATGAATATAGAACAGTGAACAATTGAATCTTGCCTTCAGCCATGCGGGAATTTTTAAAACAGAAATTCAAATCAATTATGTAGTGTGTATATCACGCTACAACAAAGCCAATATGTGTGTGTGTGTGTGTGTGTGTGTGTGTATGTCTGTGGTGAAATTTGAATACTATTTACAGTGTGGGTGACAGTGCAATGTTCACCAGAGTCATATCAGGACCAGGTGTTGCTAGTGGTGAACTGTTGACAGCACAATCTAGTTGCATGCTATCAACTCAATTCAATATTACCTTCTTACTCATTCATACATTACCGTCTTGGATATGCTGCTGCAATGTGGCGCGTGATGCAAGCGCTGATGACCTTGCTGGTCTTCTGCTTCTCGAATCTGTAGATGCGGCTGGTTGAGCGACTGCCTCACTAGACGTCGCTGTAGCGTCAGCTTCAACCTGAGCTGTAGCGTCAGCTTCACCATGACCCGTAGCGTCAGCTTCAACCTGAGCCGTAGCGTCAGCTTCACCCTGAGCCGTAGCGTCACCATTAGTCATTGAGCATTCCATTGGGTACACCAAACACAAGGGACGTTTGAGGATTCTTCCATTAGGTGTCAAGACTGATAGTGACCGAATTGCCTGGTCAGCACTGTGATGTACCTTAGCGATTCGACCAAATGACCACGCAGCTCTAGGGAGATGTTTATCCTTGATGATTACGACATTGCCTTCTGCTGGCTCATTGCGATCTCTCACTCTACGTTGACGTAGTTGGTTACCACCACGTTCACGAAGGGTAGCCAGGTACTCATCATTCCAAATACTCCAGAAACGTTCCACTTTAACCTGGCCTTGTTTCAACTGGGCAAGAAGTGCACCAGTTGGATTACTATTAGGATTGCAATCTGGATCATGGTATCGCTGTCCACCGGTGGAAAGCCGATGTTAGGATTCAGACAGAGGAAATGGGCTGGAGTAATCACAAGTGGGGTGGGATCATCGCTGACGTAAGTCAGGGGTCTGGCATTCACAACCGCCTCAACCTCAATCAAGAGCATCTCAAATTCATAATGTGTGAGGAGAGATCGACCGATGGACTTACGTAAAGATCGCTTGACAGTTTGGACCATTCGTTCGTAGAACCCGCCCATCCACGGAGCTAGTTCTGTGATGAAGGACCAAGTAGTGCCATTGGCAGTCAGGTAATTCACCACGTCAGGACATTCATCAATCGCGTTCCACACATTGTCCAAAATGGTGCTTGCCAACTTGAATTGCTTGCCATTGTCGCTAATTATCTTCTTGGGAGTACCACGGCGAGCAATGAAGCGACGGTATGCCATTAAGAACGTCTTAGTAGTCATATCCCTGACTGCTTCTAAATGAACGGCACGTGTGGTTAGGCACGTGAATAGCACCACCCATGCCTTCACCGATTCATTACCGCTCTTCACTGTGACAGGCCCAAAGTAATCCACTCCCGTGGTGGTGAATGGTGTACGCCCTCCAGTCACCTTTTCCTTCGGGTATTGCGGCATGGCAGGCATAGCGAAAGGTCCACCGTCAAAGCGTTTGCACATCTTGCACCATGCAAGTACGCGTTTGACGGTTTCCCTTCCGCGAGTAATCCAATACTGTTTGCGAGTTGCAACCAGTGTTGTGTTGGTTCCGGTGTGGATCAACCTCCGATGTGTATCACCAATGATTAGTTGGCTGATTGGACTTTTCCAGACAGAAGAATTGGCTGTGACCTACCTGACAGTGGTACATTCTGCATGCGACCATTACATCGAAGAATGCCATTCTCATCTTGGACGAGCCCGTGTTTATTGACCAGGTCATTTGTCTTCCCCTTTGTCAATGACTGGAAGACATCTTAGAAGGTGTTGTGCTGCGTGTACCTCAGCCATTCGACTTTGGCTCGCTCGATCTCCGCTACGGTGAGTGGAGCAGGTATAGGAGATTTAGTACGAGCACATCTGATAAAACGCTGGACATATGCTGTTACTCGCAAGAGCTTTGCAAACGATGAATATTGCGTGGGGTCAATACCAGCTGGTGTTGACGGTGGGTGGCTTTCATCCGCAGGACCCTCCCCGTGAACCAGAACAGAAGGCTCTGCGGAGATGTTGTTCGGCTTCAGAAGCCTAGCGGGACCATGCCACCAGAGCTCGTGGCCAGATGTCGATGCCGAGCTGCCGCGTGATGGCAGGCCTGCTGGGTTCTCCTCAGACCGAATGTGCCGGAAGACAACATCTGGTTCTGAAGGGATTTCTGCAAGGCGATTTTCAACGAACAAAGGCTGCTTCTTGACAGGAGATGGTACCCAACCTAGGACACATGTTGAGTCGGTCCATAGACAAGTATGAGCAAACTTGATTGGGAGTTGTACCCTGATGAAACGAATCAGGCGAGTCCCGATGTTAGCAGCCATCAGCTCCAGTCTTGGTATTGTTTTGCCTTTGATAGGAGCAACTCTCGTCTTACACATGATCAGATGCGATACCGTTTGGCTTGCACTTGTATGGCGTACGTACGCACACGTGGCATATGCTTTCTGCGAAGCGTCACAGAAGACATGAAGTTCTGTGGACCCCGAGTCATCAATTAAATCAATGTGACGTGGCACTTTGATAGTGCATGCAGCATTCAGGTCTTCTGCGATCTCTTTCCAAAGTGTAAGATAGGACTCCGGAAGTGGATCGTCCCAGTCAAAACCTTCTTTCCAGATGGCTTGAATGAGACACTTGGCTCGGACAATAACGGGTGCGTGAAAACCAAGCGGATCATAGAAGCTTGCGAGAACCTGGAGAACAGATCTCTTGGTGTTGATATCTTCCTTGGTTAGAGAGATCGGGCTGACGTTGAACGTGTCGGATACAACATTCCATTGCAGACCGAGACACTTCTGTACTTCCAGGTCTGACTGATCGATCTCCGGGATCGAATTTAAGAATTCACGGCAGTTGGATGTCCAAGATCGAAGATTCATGGATGCGGAGTTGAAAGTAGATTTGGCATGTTCGCGACACTAGCTGTCTACAGCATTGGGTACACATAATTTTAGAATGAGATTGTTATTGTTTTTTTTGTTTATTTACAGTCAAAGAACAAACAGGCAAATTTGCCTAATTAAATGATATCGACTAAAAAGGAGAATAAAGTATAATAGGCCAGTGAAGGTAATGATAATAATATTGAATAGAGAGGGTAATAAAGTATTAAAAGCCAATAAAGGAAATGATAATAAAACGGGAAGTGGCGTTACTGAAAAGCAGTATGTGCTGGGAGGGATCGCATGAATCGGTGGTACTGTGGGATTATTCTGATGTCGGGCTGGAACCGATTCCACGGTGATACACATTGAAATGAGGCATAATGTGGGTCAGCGGATGTCTTAGTGACTGGAAATTTAAGTGCTCGATTTCCCTGACTTCATGTAGCACGGCGGGCATTGAGAGGACTGAACATATCGGTAAGCAATGTGCTGCATTTACCCTGTTTGTGCCCTACCTGTTAGCCCCCCCCCCCCCTCACCGACCTACGGCCCTCATGCGAACCTGTCAGGCACTAACAAGTCAAGAGGCCCTCCCTGACATGCACTAACCTTTAATAATGTCAACAGACGATATTGTTGTACGCATTCTTCTTGTTTTGGGCCTTCTTCCTGAGACTCCCGGGTTCGAGCCCTACGTTGGGCGCCAATTGTCGTCGGTGGGTTTATGCCTCGACGATAGCCCTTCCGATTACTCTCTTAGTCTCACATCACACGTATGCCACACTCAGAGGACCGATTATTTTAGTCTTACTCCAAAGAGAGTCTCAGGAAGAAGGCAAAACAACAAGAATGCGCACAATAATATGCAGGCATGCGCAACCTGTGCAGTCCGCACACCGACCACGCGTACCCAGTAGGCCTAGCCCAAATTTGCCGGCAATTCTTCCAGCAAAATATCGAAATTTCCCACGAAAAGAAATTGCTGGCAAATTCGGAGCAAAATATCGAATTTACAGAGGATCCGGGTGTGTTTTGGCAATTTTATTCAAATTTCTTTGGTTTCATTGGGCCAACGTAGTGCTGAAGTAGCTCGTGCAGGTTGTCAAGGGTACATAAATTTGAAATCATGCTACAAAATCCGGAATACTGACACCATTATAAGTTTTGCTTTCCTCATTAGAGTCACCATCCACTTTTACCAAAGTAGACGGTTCATTCGAAGCCATTTTTGCCACAAAGCAGGAGCAAAATGGAGCAAAATATCGGAAACGAAAGGCAATGCCAAGCAAAATATGGAAAGTGCTAGGGCAAAATTTGCCGGCAAAATATCGAAGCGCCCCGAGCAAATTTGGGCTAGGCCTAGTACCCAGCACACACGTGCCAAAAGGGGCACATATCCTCCAAAAGGGCAGGGACAACACTATTGCGTACTGTTGCAGTCAATCATTTAACGTTGTTGTCAACTGTCCATGTGTCTTCTTCCTCTTTTATTTGTCTCAGAAGGGAATTGTGGTGTCGTCCCAACTATCAGTCACGGGGAATATCAAGTAGTCGATGCAGGTGTTGGAAACGTAGCTACTTATCACTGTAGCCCAGGCTATCACATGATAGGATCTGGTCTGGTGATCTGCCAAGAAAATGGACAATGGTCTGAAGCCCCTTCATGTGAGTGTAATGAGGAATATTTCTGATAGAAGAAAGGGGGTTTCAAATGTTAACCCGGCTTTTCATTTGCTATTCACGATCTGCGATTTAATCTATTGTTGATGTAAAATTAAGAATAATCTGCATGCCTGTGTGGATTCAATACCAATGAATGCTCTACAGCTTTGTGTTCCGCTTCTGTCCAATCGGATGAGAAGTCCACTCCTGAAGTACAGCCTGTGAAAACAGATCACGGACGGTCAGCCAAACGTTCCCCCCCCCCCCCGCATGTAGATAGTGAAAGTATTTCAAGTAGTGAAGTGAGCCCTACACGTTTTTTGGCTTCTTGACGCTACAGAGAAGAGCAAGGCAATGATTATGGCTTAGTAGTGGCACTCCAACGACAGAACATTAGCAATCGAAACTGTCCACCATGCACATGCTTTGTTCTCTGTCGCTTCCTCTCTGCAACAGGAAAACTGTGTACATACATGTCCCTGCATTCAAACCCAAATAGCTAAACCCGTTGTTAGACTGAAAGTTGTGCATGTAGTCATAGGATAGGTAGGTAGTTAGTTCAGAGTGTTAACTAGTCATGGTGTTTGTAGGACTTTGACTGCGTACTGGGAATCTGACTGCATATAGATGAGTCAGTGCACACCATCCAACTGTTTACAGGTTTTAGATTGCATAGTGGCCTCCCGACTGTCTATAGTGGCCTTCCGACTGTCTATAGTGGCCCCCCGACTGTCTATAGTGAGATGACTGCCTCCTGAGTCCAACATACAAACTTCTTTTCCTCAAGTTCTCTCTTTTCCATTCCCTAAACTTGTGAATATTAATTTGATTCTTTGGGGCTCCAAGGGAACTAGTTTGTGTGTGAAATGTGTGGGTACAGGGATGGGTGAGTCCCACTGGCTCGTGGTGACAGTCAATTTTTTTGACAGTTTCTTCTTTTCCCACTCCCTGACCTGGTGAATATTTGATACTAATATACTGTATCATGTTTGATATGCACAGGTCGTTCCTATTGCCAACCATTGCGTATCCCTAATGGCCGTATTGAAGAAAAACTTTCGCAGCCTGATGGTCCTGCTGTCAGAGCTTTTCCTCTTGCCGAAGTTGAGCCAATGTGTGATGAAGGCTTTAAAAGTGTGGGTAAAGCAACTTGCTCGGGAGATGGGGCACGATGGGAATATGAAAAACCATTGTGTGATACCTGGGAAAATGCCCGTAAGTACATTAATAATCTATTAAATCAATCTCCGAACAGAGAGAGAGAGAGAGAGAGAGAGAGAGAGAGAGAGAATGAGAGAGAGAGACACAGAGAGAGAGAGAAAGAGAGAGACAGAGAGAGAGACAGAGAGAGAGACAGACAGAGAGAGAGAGAGAGAAAGAGAGAGAGTGGGAGAGAGAGAGAGTGATAAAGAGAGAGAGAGAGAGTGTGTGTGTGTGTGTGTGTGTGTGTGTGTAAAGTAGGGATTCACTGGCCAGAAAAAGCCACTCCATAGCTGTGTGGTGTAGACCAGGCTGAAAAGTGGCGGTCAATTCTTCAGCTTTGCAAGCTGTTGGATGGTGCAATCCCAGCACAAATTGCTATGGCTTATGCTGTAGTATCGCTATCATCGCCTCCGGCTATGGGCGTCAAATGGTCAATGGCAAAATGGAGTGTGTGTCTGTATGTATTTGTGTGTGTGTGTGTGTGTGTGTGTGTGTATGTGTGTATGCCATGGTGCCACACTTGCATTCGGCCGATTCATGGAAATCGCAACTCGCTTCGGCCTCATCATCAACCTATCAAAAACCAAAGTAATGGCGGTCGGCTTCGGCATTTCTCCGGAGGATCGTCGTCCATTGGTGGTTAGCAGGGAAATTGTCGAGACCGTGCATGACTTTCGCTACCTAGGCTCCATCATCCATACTGGTGGCCGCACCGCAGTGGACACTCGGCCCCCAATAGCGTCAGCATCCAGGGCATTCGAAGCATTGCTTTGATCTGTCTTTGATGATGGCGATCTTTCACTGGCAACGAAGCGAATGGTGTATGATGCATGTGTGGTTTCTCTTCTCCTTTACGGAGCGGAGTGTTGGGTGCATCTGAAAAGTGAGCTTGCGGCGCAGTCCGCCTTCCATCTTTGCTGCATTTCCACAATCTTAGCCATCAGTAGAAGAGACACCTGGGACTTCCACATCAACGGGAAGACCATTCTGGAGCCCTGGAATCGTCGAGATCCGGTGGATATTACCACACATGTTCTTCGCCGCCGCCTGGAGTGGCTAGGCTATCTAGCCAGGATGGATGGCGATAGAACTCCGCGGCAGTTCCTGTTTGGTAAGCTCCTTCCGCCGAGGCCAGCTTGTGGTCCTCGGAAACGGTGGCGAGACTCTGCCAGAGCTGACCTCTTCACAATGAATATCGACCTCACGGAATGGTACGACCTCGCCCAAGGGCGTTGGAAATGGCACAGTGCGTATTCCGCTCAACCAGTACCGTGATCGGCTCAGCGAGACACTTCTGTGCTCTGTGATGTCTACCAGCGTACTTTCGCCCACCAGAAATACAAGAATTGCCACAAGTGCCTGGCCGAGAGGAGGAAACCGGTATCTGAGTAGTCCGGCAGCCGACTATGTAATGCGTGCGGGCGATGGTTTTTGAGTGCTGGCGGACTAGATTCGCATTATTGTCTCTCCAACTCGGCTCCTGAAGTGGCCTCGGCGTCGGTCTCGGCTGTAGCATCGGCAGACTCGGTCCGGAAACAGCGGGTCACCCTGCCCTGCTGCAGAGCGCATTGTCTCGGCTGCGGTCGCTGCTACAAGTCATCCCGTGGTTTTGACCTGCATTGTTATTTTTATTTTTATTATAATGCATTCCCGCGGCAGCGTCAACAGTGCAAGTGCAAGTCACCTATGCACAAACACAGTCCACATGTTCGCTTATGCTGGACATGGTAAGAGAAGCAGTTGATACAGGAGACATAAAGACAACAAGCACAAACGTAGCTGTAAATCTGTGTGTATAGAATGTTTAAAGTGTATTGAGCGATATATTTCCGTGATCTGGGAAAAAGATTACGGCGCGGTTTCATCGCCGAAACCTCTACTCGCAGATTATGTCCAGTAGCTGCCTCCATTCGCTTCGAACTGCAGCTACGTCTGTTAGGCGCTCCAGATCTTCCAGGCTCTGCAATCGCCCTGCATAGCTGTGCTAAATTCCTGTCCAAGAAGTAGAGCGGCGTTTCTGGATCCAATGCTGAACTCAGTGCTGTCGACCCCTGCACAGGGGGCACGTGCCCATTTGATGGCAGTGTTACCAAGGACCAAGGTGTGTGTATGCATGTGCGCACGCCGCA